GTGCATTTTATTTAAAGGGAGTAAGACACTAAAGTTCTCCCTCCAGCTTTTTAGGTTGTGGTAAACTTTTAAACACAGAGTTGCAGCTTACCTGCAGATCCATGCATGCAAGTAGAAGTAAACACCTTTTCCCACAAAGGTTATTTTAAAGTCCTGCCCTAGACTCCTTGTAAGCGCAATGTTTCCAAAACTGAAAGCTTGGGCTGAAACATCTACAAGCTTGGGGTTGGTGCAAATAAGAAATGAAATAAAATTGCAATATTGGTTAAAAATAATCAAAATTCTTATTTATTTTTGCAAAATCATTCAGGCCTATTTGTTAAACTATAGAAACCTGGGTTCACCCTTAATCTAAAATATGCCAGGGTTCTGCACTAATGACTATATTTAAACAACCCTGCTGCGATCAGTGTAGAAGACTCTCGTTCAGGTTATGCTTTTAGATTTTATGTCTATTTGTTTCAATCCAACTGAAAAGACGCCACAGAACACTGCTTTGTTCAGATTTCAAATGTAAAATTGTTTTCAAAGTTCACAAATTAACATATATCCTGCTCTCCTCCACAGCTGGAAGATGATTTTGAAAGGGCAGAAACGGAAACTCGATCTAGAGGATGTGGAGGTGTCGGACCCGAGGAGCCCCATGTGGGAGAGCCAGCGACAGTTTGTCTTCTCCGTGTCTCTGAACAAGTATCAACGCGGCCAGGAGCTGCCTGAGCCCAGCCTGCGTCGGTCTGTTCTGATAGCAAACACGCTGCGGCAGATCACCCTGGAGAAAAGCGGGTTGGCCTGTGAGGACAGGGACGAGGAGCGGCCCTCCTCCGACCCTTCGAGTAGACTGGTGGCAATAGAGCGAGAAAGTATTTTCTCTCGGTCAAAGCCTAACGCTGCATTAATGGCCTGTGAGCCTATGGCTTCTTTAGACTGCCGCCATTCAGGCGAATCAGGCGTTACTACGGCAGCAGGAACCGACGATGAGGACTGGGGATCCATGTCTACAGATTCTGACTTCTCCCTTTCAGCGGCCATTTCCTCCATTCTGACTGCATTGGACTCTACCATTGATGGTAGCACTCAGGCAGCGCAACGGACACCCCTCAGGTCCTTGGAGAACATCTCGGGTTCCTCTGAGAGAGGTTCAGCCGGGTTAAAACAAGGAACCAGAGCTGGGGGTGCGAGCTGGGAGCAGCAGGGAGAGGAAAAGGCGCAGGAAAACAGCGCAGAGGCAGCAAAGTCCAGCTACCTGAACGATGTCACCATGGAAGATCTGTTCCAGGATGTGGAGGCATCTCTGCTGGAGAGGGAAATGGGAGGGACGGGGATCCGTAGCAGCCGAGTTGGATACCCAGCTGAAGAGGAACTGATTTGCTATTTGCCACCTTTTTCTCCTTCATCTCCCCACCCTTTCTCACTTTCTCTCAACTCAAATTTGAAGTGTTTACCTTCATTCTCATCCTTTAGTCCACTACCTCCCCCCCCCTCGCCAGAATCTACATCCTTCTCCACTCAGAACCAAGCTAGAGAAGGATTTGAGTTGGAGCATCTCATGGAGATTCTGGTGGAGTCCTGACAAGTTTATTGAAAATAAAAAAACATTTCCATCATCAATAAAGTATCTCTAACTTAGTGAACTTAACTCAGAAGGCATATTAGTATTTTTCTTTACTTTTATATATTAACTCAAAGAATAGTGCATTGTAATATTTAGAAAGTAGTAAGGATGCTCTTGAAATAGAAAGGGTGGATGTCCAAGACAGAAATGAATCATTAGGAAGGCCAGCAGGAAACCTTGGCAGTCAAAACTGTGTTTATAGCAGTAAAGAATGGGTCATTTATCTCATTGCTAAGCAGTGAATCATGAACCAATAGGTTGCATTATGCTTTAAAGCAAGACTGGAACTTGGTGCCGACAGTCAAAGGGAACGTTTATTAAGCAGTACTGCGACTAGACCAGAAGATGGCGCCTGTTACTTAGGAACATTAGGGAAGGTTTATTCAACCAAGGTCATGTCAGTTCTGGTCATGTGAAATGGCAGAAACACTAACATCATTATGGGTCAGATCTTCTGTGAAGAAACCAGTTTACATCATGATGACTCATGTAAAGTCAGGAAGTGGTGCTTTGGATTGTTTTTGTTTTTTTGGCAGAGTATGTTGGTCAGCTGTTAAATGAAAAACATGTCAAATGTTACTCTTGGTGATGAAGTTCTACTTGATTTCTTTTGAGTGTGTGAAGGAAGTTGCAGGTTGTTCTGAAGAGCTCTATGCACATGTTCCTTTTTTTTTTTTTTTTTTTTTAAACACTTGTACAGAAAAAAAATAATTGCTGCACTGTTATTTTATACAGGATTTCCTCAGTAGCCTGGCTGTTGCAGCAGCTCGTCTTGGACTGATCGGTCGGTGTTTAACATCGAAGGTTTCGGCCATATTGGCTCTCCCTATCCCAGTGGTGCTACCTTCCCTCCTGACAACTGTTTGTTGGTTTTAACGTATGCTTTTATATGGTTTCCTGGAACAAAACAAAAACTTTTGCACTTTTTCAGTGACTGTATTTGCCTCTACCATGTTAGTATTTGTATTAGTCAAAAGACAAAATAACAAAAGGTCCATTCAATTGCAGTTTTATTTTTTTTCTATTGTAAAACTTTTCATGCCTTCCGTTTTATTTTAACTTTATTTAGCATTTAATCATGCATTGTCAAGGTAAATCGTTTGAGGATGCACTTGATTAACTTCTGATGCGTCTTTTTATTTTATTTTTTTTGTAACCTGTATCCCGTTTATGGATTAACGTTGCTTCTATGCAGAGGTTCTTTGTAATTTGCTGCCCTGCAGCCTCAAACTATTTATAATCAGTTTGTAATGTAAACAAGTTTTATTTAATGTTGAACCATATAGACAAATCACTAATGTATCAATGAAGTGCCATGGCAGTAGTTTTATTTACTTTGTTTTTAATACTGTGCATTTATCCCGTTAGCTGTAGAAATGAATGTTAACCTGTGTGGATCGTCTCAATAAAAAAGGAGAATGGAAATCATGTGGTTTTGAAATATGCTGCAGTTGGAAGCGACTAAATAAGGGTATTCTTTATTACAGGTGCTTCGAAAAGGGTCGATTTAAAAGAAGCTTGTAACATACATTTTATGGCTTGATGATGCACTTTTTAATTTAGATTATTTTATAATGAAACATTTACTCTTAGGACTAGTGTGACCTCTGTGATGGAGCCGACCAAATATCTAGTCCTGCTTTGCCTCCATCAGTCTGCTGATCTTGAGTCATGCTTTTGCAGCAGGTTAAGAAAGGTTAATATTTTGTAAAGGATTATTACATTATTGTAATAGTCTTATTGACTAGGAGTGCGGCCTAGTGATTAGGGCATAGAGCTTAGAATCCTGAGGTTCTGAGTTTGAACCCCACTCCCACAGACGTCCACTCTGGCTCTGAGCGTTAAACCCTGATTGCTTCCCTGGGGCGCCATGATGACAGCCCACTGCTCCCCAGGAGGATGGGTTAAATGCAGAGGTAAATTTCTCCGAGATGAGAATTTCAATTAGATGTAGAAATTAACAATTTTGTGAAGATTCTATATCAGACCTGCAATAGAACCACAACCATCAATATATTGTTCCAAAAAAGGTTAAAAAGTTAAACCACTGGACTTGGTTTTCCAAATTTAAAGATGTTTCACATCCAGGAAGCTTTCTCAATTAAAATTTTTTTTTTAAATTGAGAATCCTTACTGAGAATCCTCACCATCAACGTATTGCCTTGAATTTTATGAAAATTGATATGAAAAGTATTCATATCAAATGTTTATAAAGCCTAATTTGTAGCTTCATAATTATTAACCAGAATGATAATTATGAAAGCTTTAAGTTTCTTTAATAAAAACCTGAAATAAGTCATTTGCATCAGGCAGTCTTTGCTCTGATACCCCAAATAAAGTGCCTGTCCTTCAAGGGTTAACATTGTAGAGTCTATAGTGTTAACCCTAGAAGGAAAAGTACTCTGTAGTGTAGAGAATGTCTTAGTATCCCAGTATAAATTCAGCTATTGAGGACTTTAGGTTTGAGAACATTAAAGAACAAACAAATATAGAATATTTTACTAACTCACTGTATACATAGTCTGACATTCAACTGCATTTTGGTTTTTAATGAGTGACTAATCTAACGACAAGTTTGTCGCATTCAAATAAACTAAACACTTTTAGATTTTGTATCTTGTAATTTAGGTCTTCCTCCATGTGAAAATAAGGGCTGAAGATTAAAGGGATTGCAACCAACTATGTTACGGTGAATCTCTTAAGTGTCTGCTGAATGCCACCTGCATTTAATAAAACTTGAGTCCAGCTAAGAAATCAATGAAATTGCAGAGTATGTACTGTTATAATGGTTGCCAATTTATTTTGAATTTACAAAAATAGCAACGGCTCAAAAACGGATTGAAAATGTTTGGATTTGCTGAAGCAGGCCAAGTCTCAGGCAGAAGCTGCGGCTCTATGAGAGGCAAATCAGGGAATGGCACTACAAGTTTCGGACCCATCTGCACTAGTCACATGATGCCAGCAATAGATATGGTACGAGCAGATAAAGAACCAGGGCAGATGCAGATTTATCATTTATTTTTTTTAATTCATAACATTTTAAAAAATTTGTTTTGCTGGACCCCATATCTCAATTCAGCAATTTATCTTTCCAAGGAAGATTCCATTTTTTTTTTTTATATAAAAAAAAAGAAAATGTAGTCCAAATTATGATGAAAAACTTATTTTTTTCATTGTCTACTATGGGGGAATAAGTCATCAGCAAAAGTACTTCTGTAAAAGGCGGATTACATTTTTTTTTTTTCCACTATGGGATGTTTGTGGGGGGAAAAAACAAGAAAAAAAATCTTCACATTTAAAGATGCATCATCTATCCATTATTCTTTTAATGGTTCTGTATTCCAACTTGGCTGGTTTCATGTTAAAATGTAGATGACAGGACAGGGGGGCAACTTCACAAGCAAAAACTTTTATTTAAGCAAGACAATCAAATGAAATTATTGTTACAAAGTACAGCACAAACACACACAAAGCAACATGGTCATAATTTCCACCCTACAACTATAACCTTTCCCAATTAGTTTATTTCAAGTATTCCTCCTAATTGAATCTCACAGGTCCAGTCAAGGCTGTGTTTGACATCTACTATTAAGTCTTATGACCAACACTCAATTTAAAATTTACTATAATGAAACCGTGTGGCCCATTGTTAGAGGATATATACACTACACATCCATTATCATTTTAAGCCACTAGAGGGCAGCAAACGACCAGACACCAACAGTGCCCTCCTGGGGTTTTATGCACTCTTCCAAAGAACCGATTTGTCAGGAAATGTGATCCAGTAACAGTTATTTCCCCAACCTTAGAGTCAGGGCTTTGACATTTATTCAAAAACTTCAAAAGCCAAAGGATGACAACTACTGGCAATGAGAGAATCTATGTGGTCAGCAAACTGCTATTCTGTTAAAAAAAAAAAACATTGAGTATTAGAAACCTGTGGCCCAAACAATAAGGATAATGCACAATAGACCAAAGAGATTAAAAAAACAAACAAAAAACTGTTGACTAAACCCCCCGTGTTTCTGTTTTAAAGACCGTAAACAAACCAGATTCATGTCAGTGTTGAGGTAAAAACAACATTCTGTGCATTTTAACCGGTGCAGCCTTCTGCAGAGTTTTTCTGTTCAGAGTTCAGCTTGAAAACTTCATATCCTCCAACAAAGGCAGAATCTTAAGCCTCACCTCAATTCTTTAATCCCTTGCGTTTTTTTTGTGCTTTATGACAAATTAAGAGATTTCAGGTACAGCCCATCGATCCTGAAAGATCTCTAGAGGTGAACGCTTTCTCGCTCCTTCCTGCGTTGGCTCAGCCTTTGTTGATGGAGTTGTATGACGGCTGGGATCCCGGATCCAGAGGTTTGGAGGCTGGCTTGTCTTTTAGACGAGGAGATGGGCCGTTGTTGACGATGGGCTCCGTGTCCTCTTCCAGGACGGACTCCTCGCAGCGCGGCAGCTGGAGGAGGGTGGTCAGGCCGTGCACGTCGGCCATCTTGTGGAAGGTCCGCAGTAGGAGGTACATCATCATCAGACCCACAAATAGGTAAACTGGAAAAAGGCAAACATAAAAAAAAGTTTTAACTAGTTTGAGGAAAGTATTTCCTATTGAAGCTGAAAATCTTGGACTAATTTAGGGGTGGACTAACTAGTTTTCTGTCTAATCAATAAATAGAGATCTTCAAGAGCCTGGAATGGAGATTTTGACCAAAACCGTTTTTTTTGTTTGTTTTTTGACACCTTTGTCATAAGATCACAAGATGCCTTCAATATTCCATTTTATCTTACTGAAAAACATTGATTACAAGTGAAACAAAAACCTTCTAAAAAGCTTTACGATGAAAAAGTGTAAAAAAAAACAATTGAACTTTTTTTTTCTTATCCTGATTTTTGCTTCTCTCTTAAAAAAAAACAAAAAAGGGGGAAAAAAAAAAAAAATCAAATCACATGTTTTTTTATCTTACCATCACATGAGTGCATTGAAGAGGCTCAGATACAGAGCTAAAGTGCCGGCTGCTATGACTCCGTTGCTATGACAAAGATTAGTGGGTGATGGAAAGACATTCTGGATGTAAGGCCACAGATGGCCTGGTTACCTTTACCCCCCCGCGCCCATCGTGTTTTGAACGCCTCACCCTCCTGCTCAGTGAATTAATGTTGGTGGTGATAAGCAGGAAGAGCAAATAGTTCAGCAGAGGGAACTGTATTAACAGCTGCCCTACTGCTCTGACACCATCTACCTCAGAATGCCGTGTGTGGACTTAATTTCCACTTTGAACTCCGTTATTACCCATAAACTTCCTCTTTATGAACCTCTACAGCAGAGGTCACAGATTAGCGGATCAGGGTCCAGATCTAGACACACCTGCTGGCTAATCCGGACTCAACCTGATTTAAAACATTTATAAATTACTGCATGTTGTCCAACGACTTTGTCTAATTTCGCTTGCACCTCTTCTCCTGTTTGTACGGTAAAGCCCTCCAGAGTTTCCAGGACCAGGCTTCACGTGATAAAAATCAGCCAATGAGCTGCTGTCAGTCTGGGTTGCTGCTGCTGCTACTTTTAGACACAGCAGGCAAACCTATGGCAAGCCGGGTGATGGGAAAGAAGGAGAAGACGATGAGGAAAAAAGCAAAGAAAGTGTGGACTGCTGGAAGAACTGCTGTGAACTTGTAAAAGAAAAGTGAAATGGCATTCTCAAAGATGACCCTGCACATTTAGAGTATGTTTGGCTCAACCTGCTGCTGTGGAGCAGGATTCTCCACCATGAACAGAATCAGAAATAAATATGGATCCAGGCTCCAAATGAGCACCTTGATATGCGCTTTAGAATGGCTTTGTCTCCATTCAAACCCAGGTTTAAAGCCTTGCAGGGCAGCCTAAAGCCCACTGCTCTCATTAAGACGTATAAAAGAAAAAAAACCCACTAAGTTCAGGTGTTTTATAAAATATTTGTATCAGGAACAATTGTCGATTGTTGTTCTCCACTTCAAAAAAAAAAACACTTCAGAATTTTAAAATGGAAAAATATTCTATTTATTATTTAAAGTTGTTAGGAAATCACATTTAAATTTCAAATCTTTCTGGATTAAAAATGTATATAAATGTACTCTTTATCAGACTATATTGTCCCAAAAGTTAGATAATTTCCCATCAGTCATTGAGCTCTAGAAGCACAAGATTTATATCTGACCAATTAGATGAGCCCTTGGATGATATGTTACCTACTTTAAATCAAGATCAAAAAAGTTCAGTTATAAATAATAAAAAAAAAAAATTAACTCCCTCCATCAGAATTAATTTTCTATAGTTTTTTCAACAAAATAACTTCAAGAAATTCATGAAAAACTTTTTTTTAAACATCAGTGCAAGTGACCATTTGTCATTACATTAACTTTGATTTACACTGTGCGAATTGCTTAAATATATATTAAAAATTTAAGGCAAGGCAAGGCAAATTTATTTGTATAGCACAATTCAGTACAAAGACAAAGCAAAGTGCTTTACATGATTAAAATACAGGAAGATAAAACAGAATCAAATCAAGTAGGAAAAAATAAAAAACAAATAAAATAAAATAAAAAATGCAGAAACAAAAAAAGAATATTAAAAACAGTTGGATTAAAGAATTGTTTAACTAGAACAGTCGAAGGCAATCCTAAACAAATGTGTTTTTAGTCTTGATTTAAAGGAACTCAGGCTTTCCGCACTTTTACAGTTTTCTGGAAGTTTGTTCCAGATAAGTGGAGCATAGGAACTAAATGCTGCTTCTCCATGTTTAGTTCTGGTTCTAGGTCTGCAGAGCAGGCAGGAGCCAGAAGACCTGAGTGGTCTGGAGGGTTGATACAATGATAGCAAGTCTGTGATGTATTTAGGTGCTAAGCCATTCAGAGATTTATAGACTAACAGAAGTATTTTAAAGTCTATTCTCTGAGATACAGGGAGCCAGTGTAAGGACTTTAGAACTGGGGTGATGTGCTCTACTTTCTTAGTCTTAGTGAGGACACGGGCAGCAGCGTTCTGGATCAGCTGCAGCTGTCTGATCCCCTTTTTAGGCAGACCTGTGAAAACACCGTTGCAGTAATCAATTCGACTAAAAATAAACGCATGGATTCGTTTTTCCAGATCATGCTGCTACATTAGTCCTTTAATCCTGGAAATGTTCTTCAGGTGATAGAAAGCCGACCTTGTAATTGTCTTTAAATGCTTTTGGAGGTTCAAGTCGGAATCCAGCACTACACCTAGACTTCGGGCCTGATCAGTGGTTACTAGCTGAAGCGACTGAAGTTGTGTGCTAACTTTAGATCTCTCCTCTATTGGTCCAAAGATTATTACTTCAGTTTTGTTTTTATTCAGTTGAAGAAAACTATGGCACATCCAGGCATTGATTTCTTCTAAGTATTTCCTCAGTGCTTGAACTGGTTTATAATCACCTGGTGACATGGTGATGTAAAGCTGTGTGTCGTCTGCATAGTTAGGGTAGCTGATGTTGTTTTTTATTAACTGAGAAAGAGGGAGCATGTAGATATTGAATAGGAGGGGGCCGAGGATCGACCCTTGGGGAACCCCACATGTGATTTTTGTCATCTCTGATGTAAAGTTGCCTACTGATACAAAAAAGTCCCTGTCCTTTAAGTAGGATTTAAACCAGTTGAGAGCTGCACCAGAGAGGCCGACCCAGTTTTCCAGGCGCTCTTACAGGATGGAGTGATCGACAGTATCGAATGCTGCACTGAGGTCCAATAGTACGAGCACTGTGGTTCTTCCGCAGTCTGTATTTATACAGATGTCATTAAACACCTTGATAAGGGCGGTCTCTGTACTGTGGTGAGCACGGAAACCTGACTGGAACACGTCAAAGCGGCTGGTCATATCTAAGAAAGTGCTTAACTGTTGAAACACTGCTTTTTCAATAATCTTACTGATAAAGGGGAGGTTTGATATGGGCCTGTAGTTCTGGAGTAGTAGTTTGTCTAAACCGTTCTTTTTCAGCAGTGGTTTGATATTTGCTGTTTTTAGGGACTGCGGGAAAACACCTGACAGAAGGGACGTGTATATTATCTGAGTCAAATCAGATGCTATGACAGGCAAAACTTTCTTAAAGAAAGCTGTGGGTAGAACATCAAGGCAGCAGGAGGAGGAACTTAGCTGCTGAGTGATTTCCTCTAAGCTTTTATAGTTTATTTGGCTGAATTGGGACATTTGGTCAAGATCAATTGCAGTTGGAGACAACTTTGGTACAAGCAGAGTTTCCAATAAAGGGTTAAAAACACACAAAAAGTGCAGCTGGTGAGTTTTCAGGACTTTGACTGTTCAAACTCCAGAACACCTTCCCAAACATATTTACCCTGCAGTGAACCTGAAACAGGAGTTAATGTTTTTTAAACAGTCCATTGATTTAAGCAAAGTTTCTCCAAAAATTCATAATCAGCTAAAAACCAGGGGCATGGTTGTAATTCAGCAAGACATATAAATACATTTTAGTAGACCCCATTAGGTTTGATCAGCTGAAGATATAAATTAAAAACCACTGCAGCTGTGAATGTGGTAATAAAGGGTTTGTTTCCATATTAACAGTTTTAACAAACTCAACTTTAGCTGCAGGAAACCGCCATGGACTTCAATGATGTCACACCATCATGCAGTGAGAGCGATGCGTTCTGATCCTCTAAAAACCTGCAGGGACTCTGAAATTAATCTGACTGTTACTACATAATCCAGTCTGACTGTGGGAAACGACAGAGCAGTTCTGTGTGAAACACTGGATGAGGTAAAAAAATGGTCCCTGAGTAGCTAATTCATCCACAGATGAAGGGTTTTAAATTATGTTTTTCTACAATTCTTTAAATAAACCTGCATCTAAAAAGTACGTTTTCACACACAAGTTTGAGGCCGAATTTTGAACTCTGATTTTGGATAAACTTTGGTTTATAGAAACTATTTTTAGCCATGTTATTTTTTTCTTTAATACTTATAATTCTAATGAAAACCCTGAGATTATCGTCAGAAAATTATATAGCATATGATCAATAAGAAAAAAAAATGAAACAAATCTCAGACTTCTGAAGAGTCTGATTGTTCCTTTCAAAACAAAACTTGGTTGGAGCAGCTGCATAAATTACTACATCAATGCAGACAGTGGTCCTGCTGAGGTGTCATGGAAACATGTGCTTTAATCTCAATCCTCTGCATTGTTGGCCCAGTTGGTAGGACAGTCAAGCACAGGAACACCATCAATGGACCAGCTTTATCTTAAGCAGTGCTGCTAAAAGGCAAGAAATAACTTCATAAAACCTGGTCATCAAAAGAAAAGAGTGAAGAGCTTTAAACTAAATGGCTGCATTGACTGTACTTCAGCAAACCCAGTGGTCCAGGAGCATCATGATGAAGAACATCAGCCATCTTTATCTCATGTGTGGGATCAGTCTGTGTGTAGCAACTCCTGATGCTCTGACTCCAGCCTCAGCTCAATGTTTGTCAAGTATCTAAGTTCTTGAATAGATTTTGCTTGACAATCCTCTGGAGGCCGTACTAACCCATGATACCTAATCAGACCCGGCTGCAGAAATAAATTATGGGGGGGCAATCCATTTTTTTGGGAGGGCACACTTTTTCAGCAAATATTTGATTTACTTTAAGCTTAACACTAGCTTTGTGACCATTCATTCAGTAAAAGAAATCTCAAATCTTTATTAAAACATTTATTAAAATTATTTTAAAATCTTTTAAGAATAATTTGCTGAATTAGAAATCAGCATTTGTTTGATTTTTAGTGTTAGAAAAAAATGTGTCCTGACAGGTTTTCTGAACCATGTTCTAATGTCTCCCCCAGCTGCTGGTAGAAACAAGATTTTTTACAATCATTCAGAAACTAGATCACATATATGCTGGAATGACTATATTGCACCTGAAACTGTATTGTCATCATTTGATTTATTTAAAAATAAACTGATTGGAAAAGCATTTTTTTTACTTCAGTGCTGACTGTCTTGCTTACATTTCCAGCAGAAACTGCTCCCTGGCCACTCTCATTTGCTCTGTTTTCAGTACTTGTCCTTCTATTGCTTTGAAAATAAGCCCGAATATCCATACCGACGCGCACTGGCTGGTGACCAGACGGATTTAAAGCATGTACGAACGTTAAGTATGTTTGACTCAGTGTCCCGATTGGATGTTGTCTTTAGTCATTGGTTTGATTGGTTGAATTGTATGATTGACAGAATGAGAGACGAATAATAGAAAGCTGGCTACGCTGAGTTAAAGGAAAAAAAAAAAAAAGACGGCTGCCAGTCCAGGGCAGGCACGGGCGCCTCCGTGGGCGGGCACGGCCCCACAATGCCCGCCCATGCTGCCGGGTCTGTACCTAATACCACTCTTCCTTCCACACTTTTTCCCTCCACTTAACTTTCTATGAATATTCTATAACCTTATCTATTCAATTTCTGAGACAGTAAATCTGTGGGTTTATTCATCTATAAGTCAAAGATAACATGACAAGAAATAAAGACTTAAAACATTGTAATATCTAAGGAATCTATGTGAGTTGTGTGATGAACATTGGACTATGAATATTTATCAGGACAAAGAAAAATAAAGGACTTACAAGAACAAGTTAATCACAATCACACCAAGTAGATATTTTAAATACAGGAATAAATTGTGATTATTGGGCTACTAGCATTTTTTGACATTTGAAAATTAATTGGATAGAATCATCTAACCCAAAATTCTGATCTGAAAAGTTTTCATTGTGGCATCACATCCTTTTTATTGTCTCTAACTACTCTTCAAACAATCTATATTCAGCATTTGTAGGAAGAGTGAACATTGTTTAATTGAACACTGTCCTATGAGCCCTGATGTTTATCTGATTTAAAAAGGGAAACCAGTGAGGTGCTACTTCTCACAGCTCAGGTAAGAATGCAGATCAGTTTTACACTGACACACAAAACAATAAAAACCTGCTAAACATAGCTTCTCTGTCCCAAAGTTGAATCTTTACAATCCCAGCACCTTTTTCCTCTGGGGATTTTCCACCAAACTGGTTCCTGCACTGAACTCATTCTGTCTCAGTACCGCATCCTAGCTGAGTTAATAGAAATAACAACCTTTATGAGCTCCTAAAGACCAGGAGCTTTAATCTAATGTACTTCCCTTTATTTTTATGTCATGGATGGGTTTAGTGCCAATATGTTATTAGCTTACAGTTAGCCAAGAGGGAAGTAAACAGAGAGAAAGGTCTCCAACCTTATAACCGCAGTGGTTTGCTCAGTTTCCTCAATTTTAATAACATTTATGCTGCATTTTCTCTTCCCATTTGGTTTTCCTTCCACATAGACAGTTAAGTAAGTTTCCAGTTATCATGACATTGTAATTGTGTAAAAAAAAAGTGCAATTGACTTGCAACTGGAGGACCATGGAGCCCACTAGAGGCTGAAATCTGAATACATCTGTTGCTGGCATGTTTTCAGTCATCTCTTAAACAAACAGTCATGTGCAGTTTTAACGGTATTTGTTATTTAATTGAAATACTGCGGTTGCAAAACTTTGTATTTTGAAAACAGCAGATCATTTTGAACACATTTGTAATGGAGACGCAGCTACAGTCACAAGCATTTCTTAGGAAGCATGTCAGATCAGTTTACTTGGTTGAGCTTCCCAATGCTGAGATGTCAAACTTTCTACAATCAATACCTTAAAAATTACTTAAATCCCCATAAAATAGAGCCAGCAGGGCGCACCAGGATTTAAAAATAATGGAGACACAAAAGTAAAACATTTGAATGCATTTCTAAAGGGTTTTTCACCATTTCTGTTTGCATTCAGCAGCAGGCCGACACCAGAACTTGTAAATTTGTCAGACTTGAGCTCAGTAAGTGCTGTTCATATGAGTGACTCCTTTTAGATGAAAGTAAGACACCTTTTTATTAAATATAAAATGCAGTCGGAATAGGGAAGAATGTAGCTGTCGAAGTTGATAAGAGTTCAGCCAATAATGTAGATTTATATAAAAACCGTACAGCTGATACAAAGACTTTATAAAAAATTATTAATTGCATAAAAGAAAAGTAAGTAATGTAAGAGTTACTCACCCATGACAGCAAGCTGGTACAGCGCTCTGTACTGCTGCCCAGGTTGGGCGGCTGGAACGAAATCCCCGAGTCCGATGGTGCACAGGGAGATGAAGCAGAAGTAGACGCCATCTAAAAACGACCATGACGCCTCCACCACGTTGAAAACAGCTGCAGGCGCCAAGAAGAAGCACAGAACCACTACGATCAGGAGAAGGATGAAATGCAAGACGGTAGCTGGGCGGGGCTTCAAGCCCGAGCGCTGCAGGAGGTTGACGGGAGCGAGGACCAAAGGTTGCATGCACCTCTGCACACAGGCGGTGAGCACCAGCATGGTGAAGGGAACTCCTATCAGAGCATAGACGATGGAGAAGGCTTTCCCAGCATCAGATAGAGGAGTGGGGTGACCATAGCCTGCAAGAACACAAAATATGGGATTTAGAATTAAAATACTTCATCCATTGCTGTTGGTACCTTCTAACCAGTGATTTTCTTTGCATCCAAGTTTATATTGGCCGTCTACGTTTTGCAACTTAAGGGATATGCATTCTATAAAGTGTAACATGTTATGATGCTAACAGCAAATCCTCTATTGCTTTAAGAAGCAATAGGAGCAACATTAGGGGGTCTAGTATTTCCAAAAAAACAAAATAAAAAAACCATCTACTATTGAATATTCCTAAAATACACAATTTAAGCAAACCCACAAAACCTGAAACAATGGTACCACAGTGCACAGGTAACACTGGCTTCTACAAAAAAACAAACTGAGCCTAGCGATCATTTTATCAATTCAAATTCAACACAGAAGTTTAAATAAAAATACCAGACAGATTCCCTATTCACTATGATTGCATCAATATAAACAGCATTCATGGTTGACTTTTGCCTTTTAAATGTCATCAGCTCTTCCATTTCCAGATGAATTCTGCACAATCTGAGACATCATGCTGCATATTCTTACCAGAATCTTCTCCCTCTTAATTCACATTTGCATTTCTAGTGAAATTACTTTAGAGTTTTTGATATGACATACAGGATGATTGCTTAAACCGATGCAAGGGTTGTTTTGGAAGGCCTTAATGTTATTTTACAACTATTGAATTAAAGTCTGTAAACCAATCAATGACAGGTAAATACAGAAGGTTAAGGTGGTGAAATGTTTCAGAACCCAGAGATCCAATCATATCTCATCCAAGCGCTTTCTTCTGATGAATAATATAACAAAGACTAATCTGCTAACATACAGGAATCAAAGTGAAGCAATATTCTGACATACAACCTAAAACCAACCTGATTGGCCTTTTAAACCCTACTTACAAGAAATTCTTCCAACTTGTGTAACATTTCGCCACACATGTGGGTATTGTGGTTCTGTTCAGTCATACAGGTGCTAATGTCAAAAGAAAAAAAAATGCTTTCAGATGTTACTCCACTGCTCTGTTTTTTTTTATATCACAAACAAATGGGTGGCCATGTTAAAACATGACACACTGACAGACCACTCAAACCGTTGAAGCCATTGTGAGGCCGTCAACAGGAAGGAAAGAAAAAAAAGAAAAGAAAAAAAAAAAGGTTTGCAGGCACCCAATTTCTGCATGCTTCATAGTGCTGCTGATTGATATGCAAAGATTAGGGGTGCAGCATGCAAAAATATGCATTGTGCCATTAATCACAGAACAACTGACCATACAAGAGATTTAGTGTTTCAGCCACTGAAAACATATTGGACATTGGCATTAAGAGCTTTTATAATCTACCAACCTAGCCAAATACATTACTGCTACGTAGATTGTGAAGACTTGGCACCAATTCTAATGTCTCACCAACTCTGTCCAAACAGTTGGTGCAGCCCTAGCAAAAATAAATATGCAATTTATTCAGTAGACTATTGCATAGACAAAACAGGAAGACAATCCTCTGCAATCGTTTTCACTATTGAAAGTTGCAAACCTCTAACTATTGTAGACATAGGTTGGCTTCCAGACTAAAGTCAACGGTCCCTACAGCTATAGGATATCAAGATGCAAGGAAGAGTGGTAGGATATGATTTTTTATTAGGACTGCATGTTAAAAACCCTCCTCTCTTCTACCCATTTGTGTGAAATTCCAAGCATATGAATTCAGCGGAGTCATTTAGACAATAATTAGTTTCACTGACCCAACATCTGACTGCTCTGCAGGTCACTGAGGCGACTACTAAAGGGTATTCCCCTCATACTTTGGTTGTCAGCTGTTTGGTTGATCAGAAGGCCAAAGCATTATGAGATGAGTCTCGCACATTAATGCAAAGAGGTTGCATACTTTCTCCTACAGATATTTGTCTTCAAAGCGCTAAAAACAAACCCGTAGATGTACAAGAATCCAAACTAAAAGACCTAGTCACGCGCTGCTGTCTGTGTAATCCTTTTGGATCTCTATAACCAAGACAGACTGTTTTTTTTTGCTACTTTCCTTTCAAAGACAAAATAAAATGGATGCTCCAAACTGGGCAGCAAAGTATCGCAGAAACACAGATTATCTTTGTTCTGTTTCATGCCGGAATTTGCATTTCCCCAATGGGACGTGGATGTTTTACAGCACGTCTCAGACAGGGTCTATCTTAGCAGCAGCTGATCAAGAGAAGCTTGCAAAGAAGATAGAAATACATCTGTTAGAGTAGCTTTCTTTAAAGTTTCAAAAACAGTGATTTTCAGTTTAGAATCCGGACAGAAGGTTTTAACTTCTGCTTATGTTGTGTGTCAAGAAAAGAAGCTACTCAATAAATCAGCTAAAATTATAGTAAAGGGCTATGTGTAAAATACAAATGTTATGCCAAGTTGAGACCATAAGTAGTTTTAAAACTGTTTCGACCATTAATGTCACAAGACATTAATCATGCAAAAAAGACAAATAAATAAATCCACAGCAACTTATAATCAAAGGAAAAATCTTGAAAAAGTAACAATATTGAGAGATAGTGTTTATTTTCTTCTAATAAGACTTACTAAAACAGTTTGTCAAAAATGGAAGGAAAATAAAAATATGGATACTGGTTATGGAGGCCCATCAGTTCCCCAGGAATATTTGAAAAGTTTCTGTCAGGTTGTGGATCTTTAAATTATCCTCAAAGCAAAAAAAATCTACTCGTATGCATTTATTTTTCCAGATCTATAGATAATACAGCCACTTAACTCTATATATTTAGTTTAAGGTTTATACCTTCAGTTTAGTACAAAGCTGAACCCTTAAATATTTGGAGTCGATTCCTTTCCCATTTCCAATGTTTCTACAGTTGGCAGGCACTGAGCAGCTCATTCTTAAGTTACAATACAGACTATTTTTGCAGCCCATCTTATCAGCAGCACCAGTTCTGCCTCAATTTCCTGCAAAAAAATGTATAAAAAAAATTAAACAAAAACAGGCAAATTTTCTAAATCTTAATGTATTTAATGACTGGTTTATGAAGCAAAAAGGAAGGTCTGACATTAAGTTTAGTGCTCCGGTGGAACAATGCAATAAAAAAAAAAAAAAACCCATGTCTCTAAATCCATGTCTGCTCAGGAAACTTTCACAGATATTCAAAAGTCAAATAGGAAGTTTAATTTGCACACTTGAACCTTCATGAACAAACTTTAAATCTGTGAGAAGGTCACATCACATATGCAGTCGGCAAAACGTGAGATAAATCTGTCTACATGTTAAAATAGGGTCAAACTGCAGGACCCAAAGTCTAGATAAAAAAAAAAAAAAAAAAAAGATTAACTTTAGGTCCAGGATGAGATATTCGGCTGTTGGACTATTCCATTAAACTGTTTTTATGTTAACCCCTAGTAGCTCCAATTAGAAAAAAAAAAAAAAAAACAATGAATCTTTTTGACCCAGCTAGACTTTAGTTATTTTTACTAGGGTTGGGACAGCATAGCCCCATCAGTAGGAAACATCAAAATACTTCCCTGTTTCACAGCTGAACACATTCAGCATGTTTCGTGCAGAACTAAGAACACAACAAAGAAAGGCCACCCTGCTTTCACTAAACTCTACTATTAGGAATCAGTTTGTCATGCACCTAAACGGAGGAAGAAAGATGGACAGAACCAGAATTTGTCAGCTTTTTTCAACAGCAATACATTTTTCTGCAGGTTAATTAAAAACACCTAGAAGAAGGTAAATCCAAATGAAAACATCACTGATTTTGGAGGATGTTCAAATCCAGCAGCCTGCAGGTTTCAGCCAGTCCTAAGATCTGATAGGACAATACAAACATCCAGACCAGAGGGGATTTCCTAACTGATGCTCTAATATGGTGCATTCAAGTACATCTGGTAAATTTGATTTTCTAACAAAGGAGCTGCAAAGTAATTTATTCTTTAAAATCTAAAGTACTGCATTTTGAAAACATCAAAACCATTGGCCATTTTCCAGCTGTATTACTCTCTAATCCATCCAATCAGTTACATCTACTCATAATAAAATAGAAAACAGAATTTAAAATTGTCAACTTATTGAAAACTTACTTAAAAGTTTTACACTTTTGCCTCCCCAAAAAAACCATTTCATCTTAATATTGGATAATCAAAGCTACTTACAACCAAAAAGCAGATTGACAATTATAGTTAAGGGTTTTGTAAGCTGTGATGAGATGTTTTGAGCAACGCAACTCAATGATTGATTAATAATCTGTATGCCTCGTAAGATAAATATAACAAAGTAAATGCATTTGTCATCCAAATACCTTATTCTTCTTCAAAATGACACATTTGACACGCACTGAAGAGTATGTCAGTAGTTGCTATGGAGTGTGCTTCTCTAAAACATACAGGCAGAGCACAGCTCACTGAATTGAACAGAAATGCATTATTTCCTCTCATGAACTCTGTGTGACACGTACAAATGTCCACACCTTTGCATGTTTTGTGGTTTTGTAACAGAGAGCGTCAGCGTTTTGCTACATTGGTGTAACTTTTTTTTTGCAGTTAATTTTTTAGAAGACTGTAGTCTCAGTTTGGACAAGCATCATCCATGTGCGTTTCAATTCCATTAATGTCTATAAGGCTAAGGCTGATTCAACACAGCAGTCTGGAGTTACTTTCCTACGAATGATAGTGTTCTGTTGACCAATTTAAAAACCTTTAAAAGTGTTAATTCCTTCAGCATAGGGAAGCAGTGTGTGTGCATGCAACTATCCATTTATGATGCAGCATTCGAGATCGTGGTTTAAAGTTAAAGAAATAACTAGTTGGCTATCTACGACATGGACAATAGCATTATAATATGCAAAGGACAGCGTAGAGAAGAAATATTTAACACTACCCCTTTGACCTGCTGCACTGGTGTTGTAAAGGGAATTTGTTCTGTAGTCCATAGCGCACCTTCTGCAGGCAGAGCCTTTTCTATAGTATCCTTACCCTTACTTTATTTCTTTAACAGCTACC